CCCCCCCATTTTTCATTCTTTAGCAAAATGATGTACTCGTTGCTAAATGCTACTTTTTATGGAATGATGCACTGCTTGAAAGTTTTGTTAATGGATGTTTTTGATAGATGAATAGCTTTATGGCCAGAAGGTTGAATGAACGACTGACCGGTAGATAGTTGAGTATAATACGGTGTTCACAGATACTGGAATAACGAAGCCGAATACGGCCAAAATTTGTAAGTCCAGCAGGTCGGGGCTACTCTGGAAACATCAATTTCGCCGAGCAATTGGCCTCCCTCCCCAAGTGATATTTCACGCTCACCGTTTGAAACTATTACAGGGGAATCTTGCCGAAATTTTGAAAATTGCTTAATATAATTTAGTCCCCGAGTCAATAACTCGCTCGAGGAAAACTCGGGGAGGACTCGGGGAGTGTTAGAAATAGCTCGGCGTACAAAGTTGTACAGGTTGTCGAGTGACAGTGGCGAGTCGACAAGATCTGAATGGTAGTCGAGTTAAATTTCATACTCTGCAGGTTAAATCATTGCTCTTCCTGTAAAAATCTTGCTAGGGCACCATATGTATAGGCCTACATGAAGTATGCATCCATCGTCTGTCTCATATGAGACATTTTGAAGGAATGAACACACACATTTTGCCCCCTCTTTATAAAATTATAACATTGCACGCCGCCTAACTCGGCGACGGGTTGGCAAGATGATCAGCATGGACGGTGAGACGGGTGCCCACAACGACTGGATCGGGCCGATCGTCCGACTCGGTCGCCTGAAACTGAAAACAAACACGTTTGTTTTTGAGGCGACCGAGTCCCAGCCGTAGTGGGCACCTCGTATTTTTTCGACCGTTACGTTTCTCGGCTCTGCAAGCTGGCAGGATTCAAAGTGAATGCTCGGCAAGATGCTCGCCGTCCTAAATTATTGCTCGGCGAGCGTCTCCCCTAATGCTCACCGACACAATAATGTCAACAGCCATGGCCTGATGCTCGTCACGATTAAACACGAATTTGGCACTTTCTTATCGGGAGTTGTTCGTCAACTCTTCTTTCTTCTGTATGTGTGAACACCGCTTAAGACTGGCTTGTGTATTTAGGTGTGTATCTGTGTCTGTTTCTGTATGTGTGTGTGTGTGTGTGTGTGTGTGTG